AATTAAAAATGAACCAATTCTAAAAACCATTGGTTCACCAATAGTTCCTGCTAGATGAATTATCTTGTATTTAATGATGAATAGAACTGCACAATCCAGCCAAATTAGTAAAAGATTCCAAATGTACCTATGAAAAATTTGTCATTCTGGGGTAAGTAAGTAAAATCATACAGAATTTGGTGAATGCGTCAGAAATTTTAGCATTTGTAGACCAAAAAACATTTCTGACAGTACCCAAGATGCTCCACCAGCCCAGCAGTCTTCAAAATCAAATGCAAACAATTATCATCAAAATTCTAACAAAACTAACTTTACTGAATGTATCTTTAACACCCCAGGTATTGCAGTAGACAAATGCATTAGCACCAAAATTACCCAATTGTGGATCATGGTTTTTAGCATCATCCAACCAACCAGGAACCAGAAATTTAAATAGCAATGCAGCCACTGGCTGCTGGCATACTTCCTATTCCATGGTTAGTGTAGCCAAAGATTTGCAAATATCTAAAATGCAAGAAATTTAGTCCAAGTGTGCCTGCAAGAAGCGTAATTTTGCTGCTGATGCGTCGCCAAAGATCTTCAGATATTCACCCACTTTCTGCAGTCTGCACCCAGGAATCAAGTACCATAAAATGGGGTAACTTTGACCACTTTTTTTCAAAATGATGCCATTTTTTTACTAGATAAGTTAAACTTAAATTGAAACATGCAAAATACAGTTCTATACTCTAGCTTTACTCACCATAAATTGTTGGCTCCTGCCTTTCATAGTTTTGATGTAACTTCAAAAAAAGTGATGGTCTTTGTTACCCCAGCTCCTGGGGTTTCTTTGACCGGTTGGTAAAATCAATTTTATTTTTTGGTAAAATAACTCCAAATAACTCCAGGTTGTGGTGCATTGTAGTAGAACTCTTCTAGTTACATATGCCAAAGAAAAATTTTAGGAAAGTGTCATAGTTTGCAAATGGGGGGCACCACCCCCTGATGGGTGAAAAGTGACCACCTAATGGCAGCCATGACGGGGTAACATTGACCGGTTTTCGAAATTAAGTAGAAATTACCATATATAAGACTCTATAGAGTCTGAAACATAAAGAAAAAAACATTAATAGGTTTATCAAACATAAAATATGTTATATAGGTACCTATGGTAATTTTAACTTAATTTCCAAGCCGGTCAATATTACCCCATCATGGCTGCCATTAGGTGGTCAAAGTTACCCCATTGGGGGGCAACGCCCTCCATTTGCAAACTGTGATACTTTCCTAAAATTTGTCTTTTGCATATGTAACTAGAAGAGTTCTACTACAATGCATCAAAACCGGGAGTTATTTTACCAAAAAATAAAAAAATTGGAGGGGGTACTCTGACAGGCTTTAAATAATAGCTCTTTTTCATGGGCCACATTATTAATTTTTTAACCTATTAGATATGCAAACTTTTTAAATCTTTCTATTGTGTTACATAGCCTCAGTATTAGGCCTTTGATCGCCATCAACAAAATTTTTCTATGTCAAATCGTTTTTGAGTTTTGGGGGTTTTTGTTAAAAAAACGAAAAGTGGTCAAAGTTACCCTGCCAGTCAAAGTAACCCCATTTTATGGTAGATAGGTATATTCTAATCTTGCTTTAATGTTGACTTGTAATTTTCAATCTGTCAATGAAGTCCATAGATATTAATAGCACATTGAATCATCTGAAAGCAGTAAAGAAAACAATATTTGTATCTTTATCCATAATCACCACTCCACAACGCCCAATCAATTTGGAATATTAGGCAGAACTCAGCAGAAGTGTCCTAAAATCACATAAAATTAAATTTTTATGGGTGATTTTTGGAAATTGCAGATGAAAATGTTATTATTCTTATTTTCACCTGAAAAAAAAAATCAGGAAATGGGTGGCCAAAGAAATGGATGGAACTGGCCAGTGGCCAGATGCACTTGCAAAGTTGCATCTTTATCCAATTCACAGGTGGATTCTGCCCAATTTCCTATTTGGGCTTGCCAACCATATCTTACAGTGATACATCCAATAAATAAAACAGACATATTCAAGAGAATGAGGGAATATAGGCCTAATCAGTAGCTCACAATCTCACATCTCGCAACAGATGATCAGTCCGTCCGTTCATTATTAATGAACAGTCGCCTATATTGCTTTTTGTGTGTGTGCTTTGTTGAAGGTGAAGAGATGACCTCACTCAGGCCGACTGTCACACCTGGACATGGCATTAATTGCTGGCTTTCCAATTTCCACTTGCAGCCACAGTCAAATTTTCTTGCTTGTAGGAGGTGGCTGTTATTTCAGGATTTCCCTGGTATTATTTCCAGATAGATGGCAATTGCTTGGGTTGCTGCTATAATTTTCATGGTTTCCAAAGATCTTTTAACTGTCTTGATTCATAGTTGGCATAGTTCCTCTTCTTGGTATTTCCAGATAACTGGCGATTCATCTTCTTGGTATTTCCAAATAACTGGTGGATTTATGTTACATTTCCAAATTATTTCCCCTATGGCTTGATACTTCTTCAAAGGGTTCCAAGGCGTCCAGTGCTTGAAAGAAATTCGGTAACTGCTTTAATCATGAGATGTATATGCTTTGAGTAGTCACCACCGCCGAGTAGTGTTCGCAGGGTCAGGGTCTGGATGCCCAAGCCAAAGAGAGTGCGCTCTAATTTCTGGCGCCCAACACTATATCGACTGCACTGTAGCATAAAATGCTCTATGGTTTCATCCCGGTTGCAGGTGGCACACAAAGGTGAGTCAGACATGGAGAAGCGATGCATATATGCGTTCACACCCACATGTCCCAGCCGAAGGCGAGCCAGCACAACTGTGACACGCTGAGATCTTGCATGTATCCATGGGACAGGAAGTAGATCTTCTCGTAGGGTCAGCAGGTGTTGTCCCTTTCCAGAAACTGCAACAGTTTTGTGCCAATTTTCCTGCCAACGAGCAAGTAACTGTCTACTGAGCCAATATTTACAGTCTGCAAACTCTACCGGGTGGAATGAGCTGTGGTTGAGCTCATGTCCCAACTTGGCTGCTCGATCTGCCAACTCATTTCCACGAATCCCAGCATGGGCTTTCACCCACTGTAGCACCACTCGTCTGTCAGCATTGAACCTCCTGAGCATCTCCCTGATGCGGTAGACAACAAGTGAGCACCTGGTGTGGAGCCTCCTAGGTGACTGCAGGAGAAGTAGAGCTGAACGGGAGTCAGAGCAGACGACCCAGTCAGGGTGTGAAGCACCCTCAACAACAACCAACGAGTGGTAGATGGCAAAGAGCTCAGCAGTCAGCACACTGCTCTTTGGGTGCAGGCGCCAAGAAATGGCTTTATCCTGCGACGGAATGTATATGCTATTCCGCTCTCAGAGTAGTTATGCTAGTCCGGGAGCTTTGTGACGCACGAGTTAATAAGGGGGTAAAATCAGTCGGCAAACTTGATCCTTGTTTCCTTATATTTCGGCGTCGAAACCTGCACGTACAGGATTCTATAAGAGTGTGAACATACAAGAAACCGAGATCATATAATGA